AACAACAAGGAGACGGGTGCCCCCCAGGGTGTTAACAACAAGGAGACGGGTGCCCCAGGGTGTGAACAACAAGGAGACGGGTGCCCCAGGGTGTGAACAACAAGGAGACGGGTGCCCCAGGGTGGCTTGTACCCCCGGTGATAAAGATAGTTGGTGAGCAAGAGTGTGAAGACGCCGCCGTACTTCACTTTAGCATGGCACAAACCCCGCGGCCCTTGTCACTCCCCGGGTCACTAGGGGAATGAATCACACACCAGACTCCCTGGCTGTGGTGGTACTACACGGTTCCCGACAATAAATTGTAACTGAAAAAAGTTAGTGGTGCATGAACATTAGAGAGAGCCAGGCTCATGTATAGTGACCTTGACACACGGCCGTGTTCCCGGAGCACAGGTCGCCAGTAACACAAGAGCGCTCCTCCGCCACTCAACCTCATTTACATACCGCCGCTTTCAAGAAGAAAACTAACAATTATTAGGTCAAAAGTAACGCGAGATTGTAATTATACAGAAGTTAAGGAAACGCGGAGACACTCATTCTACCGCTGACGGGACTATGCTAGCTAACTACCCTGAGGAGTAACAATAGGTGGTTCCGAGGATCAATGGCCTCCACGTCCAGTTGCTAGCTACACATTGGCAGTCCCTCTTCCGGCCCCCCCCTGGGCACCCCTGGGCACCCGCTAGGCTAGTGCCTCAGCGCCCCCTGCCTCCCAGTGTCTGGGCTCTCCACGCCCCGTCTCCTATACTGCACCATATGTATAATTCTCCCCTCTAACACCTCCAGGGGGAGGCGACCTGAGGGGAAGCCAAGGTCGCTTAATTCCCCCCTCCCCCTCCTCCACGTCCTCCCCCCCCCCTTCTTGCTGAGGTGCATCCTCTTATCGTTAGAGGGAACTCCGGGGGGGTGGGGCTGTTCTGGCAATATTTAATATTTCTGATGCTCGCTGGGAGGACGTTGAACAGCCGTGGACCTCTGATGTTTATACAGTGCTCTCTGATTGTGCCTATGGCACCTCTGCTCTTCACTGCTTCTATTCTGCATTTTCTTCCATATCGTTCACTCCAGTACGTTGTTATTTTACTGTGTAGATTTGGGACCTGGCCCTCCAGTATTTTCCAGGTGTATATTATTTGGTATTTCTCTCGTCTTCTTTCTATTGAGTACATTTGGAGCGCTTTGAGACAATCCCAATAATTTAGATGCTTTATCGCGTCTATGCGTGCCGTATATGTTCTCTGTATTCCCTCTATTTCAGCAATCTCTCCTGCTCTGAAGGGGGAAGTGAGTACTGAGCAGTACTCAAGACGGGACAACACAAGTGACTTGAAGAGTACAACCATTGTGATGGGATCCCTGGATTTGAAAGTTCACGTAATCCATCCTATCATTTTTCTGGCTGACGCAATATTTGCTTGGTTATGCTCCCTAAACGTTAGGTCGTCAGACATCATTATTCCCAAACCCTTTAGCGGCTGCTTTCCTACTAGAGACAGATTTGATTGTGTTTTGAACCTGTATTATGTTTAAGGTTCTTATTGTTACCGTACCTGAGTACCTGGAATTTATCACTGCTGAACATCATGTTATTTTTTGCTGCCCAGTCGAAAACTTTATTAACATCTGCTTGTAGTTTTTCAATGTCTTCAGCAGAGGGAATTTTCATGCTGATTTTTGTGTCATCTGCTAAGGATGATACGAAGGTGTGACTTGTATTTTTGTCTATATTCTATATGAGAACAAAGAAAATCACTGGTGCAAGGATTATTCCCTGAGGTACAGAGCTTTTAACTGTGCTTGGACTCGATTTTATATGGTTGACTGTTACTCTGTGTTCTGTTTGACAGAAAGTTGAGTATCCAGCGTCCTACTTTACCGATTTTCCCACTGATCTCATTTTGTGAACTATCACTCCATGGTCACATTTATCGAATGCCCTTGCGAAGTCCGTTATACCATATCAGCATTCTGTTTTTCTTCTAATGCCTCAGAGACTTTGTCATAGTGGTCCAGTAGCTGTGAGAGGCATGATCTTCCCGCTTTAACTCCATGTTGGCCTGGATTGTGTAGATCATTGGTTTCCATGATTACCATGAAGAGTATACTTCATGGCCAAGTTAATTAACAGACTGGACGAGCGACGGCCATATCCATGCTAGACCACCAAGCAAACCAGCCCCAAGTGTCCAGACCAGCCTACAGCCACCATGTCCAAGTGTCCAGACCAGCATACAGCCACCATGTCCAAGTGTCCAGACCAGCCTACAGCCACCATGTCCAAGTGTCCAGACCAGCCTACAGCCACCATGTCCAAGTGTCCAGACCAGCCTACAGCCACCATGTCCAAGTGTCCAACCCACAGACACCAGCCCCAAGTGTCCAGACCAGCCTACAGCCACCATGTCCAAGTGTCCAGACCAGCCTACAGCCACCATGTCCAAGTGTCCAACCCACAGACACCAGCCCCAAGTGTCCAGACCAGCCTACAGCCACCAGCATCACGTGTCCAGACCAGTGAGCGCTAATCCCTCAGGGGTTAAGGTCAGTAAAGGGGAGGGGAGCTCTCACCTTTGACCCACACATGCAACACCTGACACATATGACCTTTAACTGTTGACCCCTGCGCGGGTGTTAACCCCTGCACCTCCACCAAGTCACACGTCAATCAGTTAACTTGACACCATGAAACGTCGTCCCATGAGAGTCTATAAATACTGAGTGTGAGCTGTGAGTGTGTCCCTCCACCCCAGAGTGTGAGCTGTGAGTGTGTACCTCCACCCCAGAGTGTGACCTGTGAGTGTGTACCTCCACCCCAGAGTGTGACCTGTGAGTGTGTGTACCTCCACCCCAGAGTGTGACCTGTGAGTGTGTACCTCCACCCCAGAGTGTGAGCTGTGAGTGTGTCCCTCCACCCCAGAGTGTGACCTGTGAGTGTGTACCTCCACCCCAGAGTGTGACCTGTGAGTGTGTACCTCCACCCCAGAGTGTGACCTGTGAGTGTGTGTACCTCCACACCAGAGTGTGACCTGTGAGTGTGTCCCTCCACACCAGAGTGTGACCTGTGAGTGTGTACCTCCACCCCTGAGTGTGACCTGTGAGTGTGTACCTCCACCCCCTGGTAGTGATAAATTTAAGTGATAAATTCCAGTACCTGGAATTTATGAGTTAAAGATGATGGGCGCCACACTGCTACACCCACAACACTACACCTGCACAACATGATGGGCGCCACACTGGTACACCCACAACACTACACCTGCACAACATGATGGGCGCCACACTGCTACACCCACAACACTACACCAGCACAACATGATGGGCGCCACACTGGTACACCCACAACACTACACCTGCACAACATGATGGGCGCCACACTGCTACACCCACAACACTACACCAACACAACATGATGGCCGCCACACTGCTACACCCACAACACTACACCAACACAACATGATGGGCGCCACACTGCTACACCCACAACACTACACCAGCACAACATGATGGGCGCCACACTGCTACACCCACAACACTACACCAACACAACATGATGGGCGCCACACTGCTACACCCACAACACTACACCAACACAACATGATGGGCGCCACACTGCTACACCCACAACACTACACCAGCACAACATGATGGGCGCCACACTGCTACACCCACAACACTACACCAGCACACAAGTACACAAACCTTTCAAGTGTAAACAATAACGTCTCGCTCGTTGACATTACAAGAAGCACAGAGAGGAAAAAACAACAATATATGTCAAACTTGTCTTAATAAACTCAAATGTCACCAGCTTATACAGTAGGAGAGGTTGGGGGAGGGAGCAGGAGGGGACAGGTTGGGGGAGGGAGCAGGAGGGGACAGGTTGGGGGAGGGAAGCAAGAGGGGACAGGTTGGGGAGGGAGCAGGAGGGGACAGGTTGGGGGAGGGAGCAGGAGGGGACAGGTTGGGGGAGGGAAGCAAGAGGGGACAGGTTGGGGGAGGGAGCAGGAGGGGACAGGTTGGGGGAGGGAGCAGGAGGGGACAGGTTGGGGGAGGGAGCAGGAGGGGACAGGTTGGGGGAGGGAGCAAGAGTGGACAGGATGGGGGAGGGAGCAGCAGGGGACAGGTTGGGGAGGGAGCAGGAGGGGACAGGTTGGGGGAGGGAGCAGCAGGGGACAGGTTGGGGGAGGGAGCAGCAGGGGACAGGTTGGGGGAGGGAGCAGGAGGGGACAGGTTGGGGGAGGGAGCAGGAGGGGACAGGTTGGGGGAGGGAGCAGGAGGGGACAGGTTGGGGGAGGGAGCAGGAGGGGACAGGTTGGGGGAGGGAGCAAGAGTGGACAGGATGGGGGAGGGAGCAAGAGGGGACAGGTTGGGGGAGGGAAGCCAGAGGGGACAGGTTGGGGGAGGGGGCAAGAGTGGACAGGTTGGGGGAGGGAAGCAAGAGGGGACAGGTTGGGGGAGGGAAGCCAGAGGGGACAGGTTGGGGGAGGAAGCAAGAGAGGACAGGTTGGGGGAGGGAAGCCAGAGGGGACAGGTTGGGGGAGGGGGCAAGAGTGGACAGGTTGGGGGAGGGAAGCAAGAGGGGACAGGTTGGGGGAGGGAAGCCAGAGGGGACAGGTTGGGGGAGGGAAGCAAGAGGGGACAGGATGGGGGAGGGAGCAAGAGGGGACAGGTTGGGGGAGGGAACAAGAGGGGACAGGTTGGGGGAGGAAGCAAGAGGGGACAGGTTGGGGGAGGGAAGCAAGAGGGGACAGGTTGGGGGAGGGAAGCAAGAGGGGACAGGTTGGGGGAGGGAACAAGAGGGGACAGGTTGGGGGAGGAAGCAAGAGGGGACAGGTTGGGGGAGGGAAGCAAGAGGGGACAGGTTGGGGGAGGGAAGCAAGAGGGGACAGGTTGGGGGAGGGAAGCAAGAGGGGACAGGTTGGGAGAGGAAGCAAGAGAGGACAGGTTGGGGGAGGGAAGCAAGAGGGGACAGGTTGGGGGAGGAGCCAGAGTGTACTTACTGAGAGGCGCCGGTCACTGCCTGCCACAATTACCTGAAATATACGACAGAAACATTATTCTGGGCCGTCATACATCTTCACACTGGTGTAGCCAAGTGTGTTCGTCTGGTGTAGTACCAGCAGCCAGCCACAAATACAACAGGGGCTCCACCAGTCATACAGTAATACAACAGGGGGCTCCACCAGTCATACAGTAATACAACAGGGGCTCCACCAGTCATACAGTAATACAACAGGGGGCTCCACCAGTCATACAGTAATACAAAAGGGGGCTCCAACATAGTGCAGTAATACAACAGGGGCTCCAACATAGTGCAGTAATACAACAGGGGGCTCCAACATAGTGCAGTAATACAACAGGGGGCTCCAGCATAGTGCAGTAATACAACAGGGGCTCCACCAGTCATACAGTAATACAACAGGGGGCTCCACCAGTCATACAGTAATACAACAGGGGCTCCACCAGTCATACAGTAATACAACAGGGGGCTCCACCAGTCATACAGTAATACAACAGGGGCTCCACCAGTCATACAGTAATACAACAGGGGGCTCCACCAATCATACAGTAATACAACAGGGGGCTCCACCAGTCATACAGTAATACAACAGGGGGCTCCACCAGTCATACAGTAATACAACAGGGGGCTCCACCAGTCATACAGTAATACAGCAGGGAGCTTCCAGCATAGTGCAGTAATACAACAGGGGGCTCCAGCATAGTGCAGTAATACAACAGGGGGCTCCACCAGTCATACAGTAATACAACAGGGGGCTCCAGCATAGTGCAGTAATACAACAGGGGGCTCCAGCATAGTGCAGTAATACAACAGGGAGCTTCCAGCATAGTGCAGTAATACAACAGGGGGCTCCAGCATAGTGCAGTAATACAACAGGGGGCTCCAACATAGTGCAGTAATACAACAGGGGCTCCAACATAGTGCAGTAATACAACAGGGGGCTCCAACATAGTGCAGTAATACAACAGGGGGCTCCAGCATAGTGCAGTAATACAACAGGGGCTCCAACATAGTGCAGTAATACAACAGGGGGCTCCAGCATAGTGCAGTAATACAACAGGGGCTCCAGCATAGTGCAGTAATACAACAGGGGCTCCAGCATAGTGCAGTAATACAACAGGGGCTCCAGCATAGTGCAGTAATACAACAGGGGCTCCAGCATAGTGCAGTAATACAACAGGGGCTCCAACATAGTGCAGTAATACAACAGGGGCTCCAACATAGTGCAGTAATACAACAGGGGGCTCCAGCATAGTGCAGTAATACAACAGGGGGCTCCAGCATAGTGCAGTAATACAACAGGGGGCTCCAACATAGTGCAGTAATACAACAGGGGGCTCCAACATAGTGCAGTAATACAACAGGGGGCTCCAGCATAGTGCAGTAATACAACAGGGGGCTCCAACATAGTGCAGTAATACAACAGGGGGCTCCAACATAGTGCAGTAATACAACAGGGGCTCCAACATAGTGCAGTAATACAACAGGGGCTCCAACATAGTGCAGTAATACAACAGGGGGCTCCAACATAGTGCAGTAATACAACAGGGGCTCCAACATAGTACAACAGTAATACAACAGGGGGCTCCAACATAGTGCAGTAATACAACAGGGGGCTCATACAGTAATACAACAGGGGCTCCAGCATAGTGCAGTAATACAACAGGGGGCTCCAACATAGTGCAGTAATACAACAGGGGGCTCCAACATAGTGCAGTAATACAACAGGGGCTCCAGCATAGTGCAGTAATACAACAGGGGCTCCAACATAGTGCAGTAATACAACAGGGGGCTCCAACATAGTGCAGTAATACAACAGGGGGCTCCAGCATAGTGCAGTAATACAACAGGGGGCTCCAACATAGTGCAGTAATACAACAGGGGGCTCCAACATAGTGCAGTAATACAACAGGGGGCTCCAGCATAGTGCAGTAATACAACAGGGGGCTCCAACATAGTGCAGTAATACAACAGGGGGCTCCAGCATAGTGCAGTAATACAACAGGGGGCTCCAACAGGGGGCTCCAGCATAGTGCAGTAATACAACAGGGGGCTCCAGCATAGTGCAGTAATACAACAGGGGCTCCAACATAGTGCAGTAATACAACAGGGGCTCCAGTAATACAACAGGGGGCTCCAGCATAGTGCAGTAATACAACAGGGGGCTCCAGCATAGTGCAGTAATACAACAGGGGCTCCAACATAGTGCAGTAATACAACAGGGGCTCCAGCATAGTGCAGTAATACAACAGGGGGCTCCAGCATAGTGCAGTAATACAACAGGGGGCTGCAGTAATACAACAGGGGCTCCAACATAGTGCAGTAATACAACAGGGGGCTCCAACATAGTGCAGTAATACAACAGGGGCTCCAGCATAGTGCAGTAATACAACAGGGGCTCCAACATAGTGCAGTAATACAACAGGGGGCTCCAGCATAGTGCAGTAATACAACAGGGGCTCCAGCATAGTGCAGTAATACAACAGGGGCTCCAACATAGTGCAGTAATACAACAGGGGCTCCAGCATAGTGCAGTAATACAACAGGGGCTCCAGCATAGTGCAGTAATACAACAGGGGCTCCAACATAGTGCAGTAATACAACAGGGGGCTCCAGCATAGTGCAGTAATACAACAGGGGGCTCCAGCATAGTGCAGTAATACAACAGGGGCTCCAACATAGTGCAGTAATACAACAGGGGGGCATAGTGCAGTAATACACAGGGGCTCCATAGTGCAGTAATACAACAGGGGGCTCCAGCATAGTGCAGTAATACAACAGGGGCTCCAACATAGTGCAGTAATACAACAGGGGGCTCCAGTAATACAACAGGGGCTCCACATAGTGCAGTAATACAACAGGGGCTCCAGCATAGTGCAGTAATACAACAGGGGCTCCAGCATAGTGCAGTAATACAACAGGGGCTCCAACATAGTGCAGTAATACAACAGGGGCTCCAACATAGTGCAGTAATACAACAGGGGGCTCCAACATCATGCAGTAATACAACAGGGGCTCCAACATAGTGCAGTAATACAACAGGGGGCTCCAACATAGTGCAGTAATACAACAGGGGCTCCAGCATAGTGCAGTAATACAACAGGGGCTCCAACATAGTGCAGTAATACAACAGGGGGCTCCAGCATAGTGCAGTAATACAACAGGGGCTCCACCAGTCATACAGTAATACAACAGGGGGCTCCACCAGTCATACAGTAATACAACAGGGGCTCCACCAGTCATACAGTAATACAACAGGGGGCTCCACCATATACAGTAATACAACAGGGGCTCCACCAGTCATACAGTAATACAACAGGGGGCTCCAGCATAGTGCAGTAATACAACAGGGGGCTCCAACATAGTGCAGTAATACAACAGGGGGCTCCAACATAGTGCAGTAATACAACAGGGGCTCCAGCATAGTGCAGTAATACAACAGGGGGCTCCACCAGTCATACAGTAATACAACAGGGGGCTCCAGCATAGTGCAGTAATACAACAGGGGCTCCACCAGTCATACAGTAATACAACAGGGGGCTCCACCAGTCATACAGTAATACAACAGGGGGCTCCACCAGTCATACAGTAATACAACAGGGGGCTCCACCAGTCATACAGTAATACAACAGGGGGCTCCACCAGTCATACAGTAATACAACAGGGGGCTCCAACATAGTTCAGTAATACAACAGGGGCTCCACCAGTCATACAGTAATACAACAGGGGGCTCCACCAGTCATACAGTAATACAACAGGGGGCTCCACCAGTCATACAGTAATACAACAGGGGCTCCACCAGTCATACAGTAATACAACAGGGGGCTCCACCAGTCATACACCAATACAACAGGGGGCTCCACCAGTCATACAGTAATACAACAGGGGGCTCCACCATCATACAGTAATACAACAGGGGGCTCCACCAGTCATACAGTAATACAACAGGGGCTCCACCAGTCATACAGTAATACAACAGGGGGCTCCACCAGTCATACAGTAATACAACAGGGGGCTCCACCAGTCATACAGTAATACAACAGGGGGCTCCACCAGTCATACAGTAATACAACAGGGGCTCCACCATCATACAGTAATACAACAGGGGGCTCCACCAGTCATACAGTAATACAACAGGGGGCATACAGTAATACAACAGGGGGCTCCACCAGTCATACAGTAATACAACAGGGGGCTCCACCAGTAATCATACAGTAATACAACAGGGGCTCCACCAGTCATACAGTAATACAACAGGGGCTCCAGCCAGTAATACAACATAGTGCAGTAATACAACAGGGGGCTCCACCAGTCATACAGTAATACAACAGGGGGCTCCACCAGTCATACAGTAATACAACAGGGGCTCCAGCATAGTGCAGTAATACAACAGGGGGCTCCACCATAGTGCAGTAATACAACAGGGGCTCCAGCATAGTGCAGTAATACAACAGGGGGCTCCACCATAGTGCAGTAATACAACAGGGGGCTCCAGCATAGTGCAGTAATACAACAGGGGGCTCCAGCATAGTGCAGTAATACAACAGGGGGCTCCACCAGTCATACAGTAATACAACAGGGGGCTCCAGCATAGTTCAGTAATACAACAGGGGGCTCCAGCATAGTGCAGTAATACAACAGGGGGCTCCACCAGTCATACAGTAATACAACAGGGGGCTCCACCAGTCATACAGTAATACAACAGGGGGCTCCACCAGTCATACAGTAATACAACAGGGGCTCCACCATAGTACAGTAATACAACAGGGGCTCCACCAGTCATACAGTAATACAACAGGGGCTCCACCAGTCATACAGTAATACAACAGGGGCTCCACCAGTCATGCAGTAATACAACAGGGGCTCCACCAGTCATACAACAGCTCCAGCATAGTGCAGTAATACAACAGGGGCTCCAGCATAGTGCAGTAATACAACAGGGGCTCCAGCATAGTGCAGTAATACAACAGGGGCTCCACCAGTCATACAGTAATACAACAGGGGCTCCAGCAT